TGTGTGTATGTATGTAAGTTAATAAAAATCACGAACTACTAATGTTGTGGGCATTGGGTGGCCTTGTAGTCAAAAAGGTTCGGAACCTATGATTTAAACACATGAGAACACTGCTTATGCAATCTATTGTTTGCAAAATTACTGATGCTGCATGATACATGCATGTCTTTCTGTATATTGGCTTGTTTTGCAATTCAAGACAACGCTCATAATAGTGCACCAAATCCCAATCATTCTTACCATCGTTCTTTTTGTCAAGGCTCTTGAAGACCAGCCTCAGTTTCTTCTCATGGTCCCTCAGGTAGTGCACAAACTCCTGAAAGTCCAACTGACCATCCAAGTCTTTGTCTCCAGCCTTGATGATTTTCTGAAACACATACACGCAGGAATCAACATCAAAACCTCAAGACAGAATCAAGCCAGGTCATTTTTGGGGTCAGTGAGCTGGTGCTATTCAGGGTGTTGAGCTAATGGGTCACTAGGGACAGACATATGGCCTTTGTTTGCTGAAGAGAGTATTGAAAGGACCATGCTGAACATTCTCATGAGCTCCAGCTTTATGAGCTTTAGGGAACAAGCTGTCTGAACCATTGAGCAGTATATAATTGAAGGCAATGGAAAGGGATGGAGAAGATGAATTAATCATTAACCTGAAGTATTTTAGAAGGATAGAAACAAAGTGAATATGTGTTTCCAGTTTTAATAGCAAATCAGGCCCATAGCATGATTCCTGGCTGATGTTGCTTTGAAAGTGTGTGTAGGGCCTACCTCATGGGGTGACAAAAACTTTGGCCTGTCCACTACTAAACTTTTTCAACCAAAAGCAAAAATATTTTCAGTCGCAGAAATTCAGCAAGCAGATCATTTGTTACTTCTCATTGTGAGATTATGGTTGTGCATAATGATACCTTAGTTAAAACAGATTAGAAGTGTCTGAATAAACTAAAATTCACTTCTACATTGGCTACAAGAGCTCAAAACCTAGTCACAAGCCCATATAATCCATAAATAAAGTCCTTTTTTATGGCATCTGTGCTCATTAAAACCAGCAAGAAGCCATGTAAACAAAAAAGCACACTGTAAAGAATTGCTGTAATTTTTACAGTAAATATTTACAATAGACCACTGTATTTAGAAATTTACAGCATTACTGTATTTTGCTATGAATTGTGGGAACATGCTAAATAATTGCTGTAAATTTTACAGTAGTATCTAAGAATGTTTTTGCATTTTCCTATATATTCTGGGAACATGATTATGCAGTAAATGCTACAGGAGATCATGTAAACATATATTCTTTTTTTTTTTTATAGAAGAAAACTGTTGCACAAGTTTTGAAATCCAGTTTTGGTACTCAGTCAACTGTAATAAATACAGCCTTTTTAACGAATTATTTACACCATGTTGACTCTGACATATGATTATATAATGTACGCATCTATTAGTTTAAAACTGTTTGCTTTAAAAACAC